CTATTCTATAAAAAAGAAATTCTTCCACACATTTTTGGTGTATTTTTGGGTGTCTACAGGTGTGTTTTGGGTGTGGTTACCGTAGCAACATGTCGACCTCGGAGCTCTTCACCACGGCTACGGAGGAGGACAGCCAGGTGAGGTTGTAGGGCAGCATGTTGTTGCACTGAGGCTCATCGATCAGCTGACACACACCTGAGGACACAACATGGTGATCGTTCATGTTAATGTTTTTACAGTCAGATACCTTTTGAAAATGTTGTGATTCGTAAAAAAAAAGGGGGAATTTCTTTTAAAGGTGATTTCATTTAAAACAACTGATTGTTCCAAAGTACTGCAATTCAACAATAAGGTCATATTTGAAAAATAAATGAAGCAATATTTAAAACCACGTGAGATGAGACGTCAAATTCAATTAAGAAATATTTAAATTATAAGGTCATTTGTGTAAAGTGATAACATTGTTCAAATGTATTCGTTTTTACAAAATCGGAATAAATGTTTGAAAACGAGATGATTAAAGACATAATACAGGTGTTCATACTAGAGCATATTGATTATACTAATGCACCTAAAATAGCTTGAGTAAACACAACAATACGCAAACAGAGATGCAGCACGAGTCAGGTGACCGCCCAGCGTCCAATCAGAGGACAGGACAGTCTGCAGCTCATTAGCATTCACCTCGACTTTTAATACAGAGAGAAAGAGACACAGAGGACAGACAAAGAGACGAGGAGAATCTTTAAACACACACACACACACACACACACACACACAGAGACACACACACAGAGAGACACACACACACTCTGAGGACATTAGAGGACAGTAGATCTGGATTCAGCTCAGACTCGTCGTCTGTTCTGCAGTGATTGAGACGTTTTTTGGCAGAAAAGGACACAAAGACAAGAGACCACAGAGGATTGTTGGATTTGTAGTTTTTCAAGGACATGAAAACTGCAGCATCATCTATGTTGAATCCAAATATCTGTAGAAAAAATCTAATAAATGTGAGTTTAGCCTAAAGATTTCACGGGACTTTTATTTTGAAAAACACTTCAAATACTGGCTGTAAATCGAGTATGTGCGTTATTTTATTTTTTAAATGAATTACTGTGTCATCGAAGTTCAGATTTAAAACTCACAGCAAATATAAATAATGCCTCCATGACTCAGCAGAGATACCACTAAATAAATACAAATAATAATACTAAAATGTGAGAATTAAATAAAATAAAAATTCAAGTAAAAACTAAGAATGAAAAAAAAGGAAATAGAGGGAGAATAATAACTGAAAATGAAATAAAACATTAATAAAAAACCTATAATTAATACAAAACACATTCCGTGTGGTGAAACAAAGACTACAGCGCTATACTGGCGACACAAAAACCAAAACACTTTAGGACTACATTTCCCAGAACCTCCAAACATCAATTGTTTGTTAAATATCACTATTTAATTGATTCCATTTGTGTGTGATACAAAAAAACTAAATTTCCCATGAGCCCCTGCTGCTTCCTGTACCTGATTCCGTCGCTGCTGTGCTGCTGATTGGCCAGGCGGTGCTGAGTGATGTCACAGACGTCAGCCAATCAGGAGTCGTTGTGTAGGGCTGAGTGGGCGTGGCCTGAGAGGAGGAGGAGTAGGAAGTAGCGGTGGTGGCGGTGCTAACGCTAACATCGTACGCCGTGACGTTTCCTTCGCTAAAGTTTCGTAAAGAGTTTGTAACGTTTTCCGTCTCCAGGGAGAGGGAGGGGCTTGTGCTGTTGCCATGGTAGCCGGGGTCGCTGTCGGCGATGGGTTTTGGGGAGGGGAGGGGGACGCCGCCGCCAAATATACCTGAAGAAGAAAAAGAAGAAGAATCCAGCCAATTACATCACAGCTCTCACAGCTCCGAGCCAACCACAGACAGGTATGACAACAAGATGATCAGGCTAAGGGGCGGGACATCTCTGAGCGGTTGACCAATCACAACAGAGCAGAATGGGCTCTGGTATTAAGGAAAAAACTGAGAAGCAAGACGGAGGAAAACTAAGACATCTGAAGACTTCACACACCATCAGCTGCTTAATGGTGTGTGTGTGTGTGTGTGTGTGTGTGTGTGTGTGTGTGTGTGTGTGTGTGTGTGTGTGTGTGTGTGTGTGTGTGTGTGTGTGTGTGTGTGTGTGTGTGTGTGTGTGTGTGTGTGTGTGTGTGTGTGTGTAATGAGTCGTGGAGGAAACAACAGAAAGCAGCTGCAGATGAAGGGATGCTGAAAGAGAGAAAGCTCACGCTGAGAAACACAATAAATGTTTCTGTGTCTCCAAAGAGTTTCAAAGGAGACGGATAGAACACGCACTATGAAATATTTAGAAAAGGAAAACACAAACAAAGACAACAACACATTATATAAACAAGAAAGAAGATAAAACAGACTGAACAATAAGTGTGCAATAAATAAATAACTAGAGAATGCTAAATAATGTAGAAAATGTTTTGCAACACAAAATGAGAAAGAAGACAGAAAGAAAAATAAATACAAATAAAATAGAAAATAATGTAGAAAAAACAACAACAGAAGGAAAAATAAATAATAAATCAATCAAAAATAAATGGAGAAAGGAAGAGGAATGAAGCGCAGAGGAAGGAGAAGATGAAGAAGAGGGAAGTCCAGATGGAGGAAGAGAAAGAGAAAGAGGAAGGTGGAAATGAAAAGAGGAGTAATAACCCTAACCAGAATAAAGGAGGGACGTAAAGAGCTGCAGTTTTACTACCAGTGTAAATATTTGAAATTCTTTCAGTGAATGTCTGTAACTCAGCCTCTGATTGGCCGAGGGGACGCTGTCATGGTGACCAGAGGACACATGGACACACACACACACACACACACACACACACACACACACACACACACACACACACACAATGTGTCATCTCTCCTCCTACACACCATCAGTCCTAAAATCCTTCGCTCATGTTTATCCAGTTTAGTCACAGAAAATAACAACAAACTGAAGAGATTTGAACGTTCTTTTCTACGACATTAAATGCGTCAACTGACAAGTAACAACATTAAATGAGGCGATGCTAAGGCAGCTACGTTTAGGAGCAGTTTCAGGTGAGTCATGCAAAAAGTCACTTTTTGATGTCTTCTCTACATCACCACGTGTCCCCGGTGTGTCCACGGTGTGTCCCCGGTGTGTCACCGGTGTGCCCCCGGTGTGTCACCATGTGTCCCCGGTGTGTCCCCGGTGTGTCCCCGGTGTGTCACCATGTGTCCCCGGTGTGTCCCCGGTGTGTCCCCGGTGTGCCCCCGGTGTGTCGCCGGTGTGTCACCATGTGTCCCCGGTGTGTCCCTGGTGTGTCCCCGGTGTGTCCCTGGTGTGTCCCCGGTGTGTCCCCGGTGTGTCCACGGTGTGTGTCCGGTGTGTCGCCGTGTGTCCCCGGTGTGTCCCCGGTGTGTCCCCGGTGTGTCAGGAGACTCACAAAGTGTCAGAAATAAACCCCTCTCTCTTTTCCTCCGTACCCACATCTCTAAAAATAGGGGAACAACGGAGCTGATCCAGATTTGCTGCGTCATGACGACATTACTCAAATGTGGGCGGGCTTTAGTGTCAGGAGACTCACAAAGTGTCAGAAATAAACCCCTCTCTCTTTTCCTCCGTACCCACATCTCTAAAAACAGGNATAGCCCAGCGCAACACCTTCATCACACATGTTGCCACTTGTTTGTATCATTTTCAGGCGATTTGTAATTTTTTTCTAGAAAAACGATGTTAGTTAGGTGGTCCGTGAGTGTTTTCTTATTGGTTAAGTGGTCCTTGGTATGAAAAAGTTTGAGAAACACTGGCTTAGACTAAAGCCCTCTTTGTGCACCAGGCACTCCAATTAAATGGGGAGTTAAATCCCAGATCAAATGTGAGGCAAAGTATCTAAACATATTGTCTTCAGTGATTTAGATGCTCCATTAAATGCTTGTTTCCTTGTCTTAATTATGCAACATCCTTATTCATGTTTAAAATAGAGCTTGTATGATGCAGTAAAAATGTCAGACTTGATCCGACACTAAAGTATTCTCTTAGTGAAGAAAATATGTTTCTGTTCAGGATCTACACTTCCACCCATCCCGGTTCAGATGGTTAGTCATGCAGGCTGTGGACAGGAACATGAGGTCAGGAGTGGGGAGTGGGGTGCAGTGTGCAGGGGGGGGTCTGCCTCACTTCCTGTGCTCTCTGGAGCTGACCAGAGTTTGTGCAGCGCTCACTTCTGGGAAGGATGTAATCCATCCCGAGGAAGGCGGGACGACGGCGTGTTTTGTTGAAGAAACTGAGAGGCCTAACAATGTGTGTGCAGATGAAGGCTTGGGAATGTGAGAGCATTCAGGGATGTTTATGCCTTTGACGGAAAGAATATCCATTCGTCTCTATATTTGTTTTTTTAAAAGTAGCTATAAATCAATATTGCCATGTTAACAATGGGTCACTAGAGCATTATCACAGAAAGAGCTTTTTATTTAAAATGTCAGTTTCTTTTTTATTTTCCGGCCAATTCCATGTTTTTGTTTCCATCTTGTTTCCAGGAAGCCATTTTGAGCTCTATTCGATGTTTTAGCATCTTTTAGCTCATTTTGGTTTTAAAGCTATATCTTTACAGGTTTAGTTCACTCTCATGACCCTCTGTTGTTTTTGGCCAAAGTTTTTGGCACTTTAAAAACTCACTGTACAGAACCTGCTCAGACTGACAGTTAGCATACATCTGGTTAACATAAGGGCATTTAGCAGCTTAAGAAATAGGAAAAAACAAATAAAGTAAAATAAATAAATCTTATTTATTTGTATTTGTTAAAGTGCTACATGTTTCCGGTTTGAAGCTGGAAAGGGACATTTTTCGCATGTTTCCCCACTTAGCTTTCTCTACATTTATTTCCTTCCTTTTTACCTAAAAAAAATAAAAATATATACACACACACGTACAAAATGCCCAAAGAACTACTAAAGAAAAGTCAGAATGTGTACCTCCTAGTAGCTGGTCCATGTTGGCGGTGTTACCGACGCTTCCTCTTCTCGGCTGCTCTCTGGACCCCTGCAGAACGAAACAAACAAGAAGCAAACATACACACACTGTCAGACAAAAATGGTTTAAAAATAAGTCAAAGGGACAAAAAAGCAGCTCCAATGCGTCCTGCATGACCTCCAAAAACACACATGCACATAAGTTTGCTGACACACTCTGAGCCAGCTCACATGTTTCAGCCGGTGGAGCCAACCGGCTGATAAACACCACTCATCAGGAAGATCAGAGTGTAGAGGAAGAACGTGTGTGTGTGTGTGTGTGTGTGTGTCACCAAACCACTTTAATCCCCTTATGAGCTCAAAGAGACGGAGCCTCAGACAGACACCGTCTGTCAACAACAGCAAGAAACAAACTAACTCATCTGTTGTAGTTCAGACCCTCCATTAATACACCTGAAGTCTATAAAAGACAGATTAAAGCAGAATATTCTTCTTTAAACTCATGGGTGTGTCCTGTCAATCTCTGAAGATGCATCATTCAAAATGTAAGATCGCAACCATGTGAATCCCTTACAAACATAATAGGAGCTTTATTATATCAAATGAAAGGAATGCATTTTTTGTTGTTATATTCAAGTCTCAACATCTCAGAAGTGTAACTCCTCCTCCCGACAGCCGTGCCAACATGAGGGCACACATCCTACGGTAGAGATTACACGATAAATCAGATGACGCTTCAACTCATTTAGCCTTCAGGCTGTGAGAAACATCTCAGATCCTTCACCTGCTCAACAGATTCACCACGGAAATGTACAAAAGGTTCAAACAGTTTTCACCCTTTTGTGAAAACTGATTCAGTGCCAGTGGTTGAATACACAATGTGCAAGTACTCCTTCACGGGTAAAGGTTATACTTTTAAAATCTTACTTTAGTAAAAGAGTTATACTGAAGACAAATACTAAAAGTATCAAAAGTGGTTTACTGCAAACTCATACACTCCAATACTTAGTAAAGGTATACATTAGAGTTGCATATAGAGCTCTTAGTCATTTTAAAAGCACTTTTCTGAATGAACATATTTTACAACTACATAAAAGTAGTTTTCCAAATTACTGCTTATTGATTGGAGACTGTTGACAATTATAGTCTTCCTTTATTACAAACAACTAAATTAATTCTCCCAAACTAACAATATCTGCCATTTTAACTTGAGGTAATAATTGCATTTATGTTTTAGTGAATTTGTATTGGTAAGTTTAAGTGCATTAATTTATTTTCCACCACTGTTCAGTGTTTTGTTATTTCCAGGTCCTTACGCCTGAGCTGCCCTCTGCGTCCTGACAGGCTCAGAGTCTGCAGGCTGCAGCAGGTCAGAGTTGTGAAAGATTTGACGATAGAAAAGAAAAACAGATGTTGAGGTGAAGACTGAAAACAGCACGTAAGATTCAGACAAGTTTATGCGCATCACTTATGCAAGGTAAAAAAACTTTTGATAAGTTTCCCAAGAAATGATCAACATAGAAATGTGAAAACCCCTCTAGTGACAGACCTTGCTCAGAAACACGTCAGTATAATCAAGGTCAGACTCATTTGGGAAATTAACAAAAACAAATATTTTGATTCTTCAGGTAGGAACCAATGAGCTTAATGCTTCACTATGTTCACCAGCTAATCGTTCTCAATGTCGAGGAGGCTTGCTTGGTAGCACATGTACCTCCGAGTCACTTGCTTCAGAAGCGAGGCAAGAATCCTTCTTAGCCTCGGAAAACGAAGAATGGTGGAACAGGCTAACGGGTGTGCGTCATATGCGAGGCCTCGCCTTAAATGGAGCGCGATTTCCACCAAAGATTTGGAAATTGGTCCGTGCGCAAAGCATTGTGGGGATTTTAAGATCGGAGGATACACATGTGCAGCCTCGAAATTTCCCACAACAAAGTACGCCTACCTCAGTAGAATTCCAAGTATGCTGGACATTGGAACAGTCCTTCGGCGGGACTCGATGACGTAGCATCCTTGAAATAGTGGCTCTGGAGCATCCTTCCTCGACATTGAGACCCTGTGTCTCCAGTTTAGTGCTGAGAAGGTGTTGAGGCTTATCTTTCTAGAACTGACCACAAACATGTAGTCAATTCATCCAATATTAAATGGGCCCTTTTATTTTCATTATCAGGTTCATTCTTGTATTTAGTGTCTCTACTGTGACATGTCTCCATGCTGTAATGTTCAAAAAGCTCTATTTTCCTCATACTGCCTGTGCTGCAGCACCTCTTTTCACCCTCTGTCTGAAACCAGAGCCCAGTCTGCTCTGATTGGTTAGCTGGCCGGCTGTGTTGTGATTGGTCGACCGCTTAGAGATGTCCCGCCCCTTAGCCTATCAAGTACAATGTGTTTGAGCGCTAGCCAATAGAAGAGCGAGTGTAACATAGTGAGGTCACTATGTTACGGAAACAATCAAAGCCTTTTCAGACCATTTACATGCACACAAACCTAAACACATTATAGGAAAGGGAAAACTGTAAAATGCACAACAAGAAAGGCCCCTTTAAAATACAAACATTGATTATCTCAGCTTTAACCCGAAACTAAACTTTGATCCTTTTATCAGGAGAAGATAATAAACCAGACTATAACAAATGAAGTAATCTGAGACTCAGGAATGCAATAGACATGCAAGCATAAATAATAAATATTAGTATGAACACACTCAGAGTTTCTGGCTCCAGTGAACATAGTCACATCCTGACAAAAGAAACGTCGTCATCATAAGACTAGATCAATCCCCGAGGGTGGATCATCTTCCACGGACCGGAGGTGCAGTTTTTAAAAAGAGGGGTGCTGGTTTGCATGCATGTGTGTGTACATGAGGAGGGGGTGTAAACATATGTGTGAGGGGAGGGGGGGGGAGATGTAAACAAGCAGCCGGGCCATGCAGGTCCCAGGAGGCTGGATCAGCGGCTAGACAAAGAATCTCCTGCTAATCCTGATACCATTAAAGCTCCCTTACAGACTGACTTGCAGTAATAACCCCACCCGTCCCTGAACCCACCTCCGGAAACACACCATTCACAGACAATAAGATGCTCTTACACGAAGCAAAACAAAGACAGAAGAGTGAAGTACCCAAATAATAAATGAAACCCTTTAAAACAATAATATTGATCAAAGTTAGCGCACACAGTTCAAAAGCAGCCATTGATTAGGCTTTCAATGCAGGCACTTCTGCAGCCGCGGCACTAAAAGGCCTCTTTCAGCTGCAGGGAAAACATACTAATCTAAGTCAACAAAAACAGAGAGGAAAAGTCAAAGTAGACGGTGTGTCTCAGCGCACGGAAGCCAGGCGCCAGTGCAGAAGCTAAACAAAGAGAAAAAAATCAACCCCGTATTTAAAGTGAATGGAAACACCATAGCTACCTCTGGTGAAGGCGAGCGGAGAGATGAAGGGGACGATAGAGTCGGCAGAAAGATGGGAGGGGAAGCCGGTTCGGACGGATCGTATGACTGAAGCCCGCAGCAGAGAGGAGGCACAGACAGGCTTACAGCGGGGGAGACGGAGATGGTTTTAGGGGAGGAGGGGACGGAGACTGGGTGGGAACAGGAGAGGCGACAGGGAGCAGGTGTTCCAGGGGGGG